TGTTCTCACATTGGCCAACCAAATGCCTTTGGGAAAGCCACAAACGTGAGGAGTGTAAGAGCACTCTCTCCTTCTGCAATTTTTAGCAACTGGTATTCAGAAACATACTGAACGTAGAGACAGAGCAGAGCCATCAACTAGCAGCCATGGATGATGGTTCAGGGTAGTTTAGAGAGTTGGGCTAGCACTTTATTTCTGTGCCCAAACTTAAAACAAAACACAATGAAAAACAGCTGCAGAGGCTTTGGTATGGTAAACAAACATCAAAAGCTGCTTTCTCTCAAGGGAAGAGTGCCATCTTCTGTGAAATTTAACATGTGCTTCTATGAAGTTTAATGTTTTCCTGCTGTAAAGTCTCCCCATAGGAGAAACAGCCCCACTGCAGCCCCTTTGTAAGTGCTTCCAGCATCAAATCATATTTGTTCCCATTCAAATTGCCAAACATAAAAGAAGAAAAAGCAGGAATAATGTAATAGCCCTCTTTGTCCATAGGCAATCATGACCAACAGTGTCTTACGTTAGCAGTTCAATATCTTTGTTATATGTCTATGGTCTCCCACACAAAGGCTGGACAATTCGGCTAAACTCCTGTATCTGTGTTGGTTTAGTCTGCCTAGTGCAGAATACCCACTTGTCAAAGTGTATTTGCGTGATGGCGAAAAATAAACAAGTGTGGTGTTATTTAATGTCTTATCTTCTTATCTTCAGTGTATACACTGAATGAAATTTACTTTCTCAGTAGCTGTTCAGGATCAAGCCAGTTGAGCAATTGTACAGAAGCGGTAGAAAATGGATTGCAGAGTATTGTTTAATACATCTCTTTATTAAGCTAACACTGAATTACAGTATTGCTAGGGGAAAATGACAGCGTAAGAGATTGAAACCCTCTTAAAGAAACAGTGACCCAGATTTGAAAAGTCATTCAAAAAATATAAAAATAAATACGTTAATTAAAAATTGGCACAATGGAGGTTCTGTCAGTTGTGAACAATTTGCTGATTCCCCCCCCCCTTTCTATTTGGTGGCATGTGAGCTAATACACTGAAAGGGGAGCTTCTCTAAATAAGCTCTTCAGGGAGGCAAGGTACAATTAGCAAACATATAAAAATGGTTTCAGATGAATAATCTACAGAAAAATGAGGGAACTGAAATTCAGACTCAAATATTTAAGCATGAATCAATAATTTCTGTGTTGGTGATTGAAATAATCTAGTTGTCTGTAACCCCAATAATTGAACTTATTCCCCCCCCCCCCTTTAGTTCCATGAATCAACATCATTACCAGTTTCTGTGCAGCATTTGATAGGATCGCTGTATAAAATGGGGGCAATGGGGGCTTGTCCAAATTACATTCAGCCTGCCTTTTGACACCCCCAAGTGAAATTAGGCAAAAGTACATGTTGCTTCATTTGCACACATTAACCCCTTTCCTATCCCCTCTGTTCTTTTGTTTTCCCTCTTTCTTTTACTGTCACGGACCAAATTCAAGGCACACAATCCAGCCAAATTTACATAATTTTAAATCTTGAAGATTTCAGTGGGATAAATGCAATCCTATGACAGTCGGCAACTTTGTAGAAAGGGGGAGTTGCAATTTTAATTCATTAAACGTCAGTGGGACTTAAGGGCATTGTCCAGCCAAACTGAGGCTATTTGGAGCAGGGATCTCAGAAAAAAGTGAGCAAGCAGCACTGTTAAACCACATCGCCTACTTTTTTTTGATTTACACCTGAAATGTATAATTTAACAGCACTGCAGTCAGAGAGAAAATTTGGTCCTTTCATTAAGGGTACCAGACAACTATAGCTGTAATATTCAGGCTACTTATTACAAGTTGTTGTTAACATTATGGGTACATAATTTTAAGCAATTTTCAGTGTTCCCGATCATCGGAAGAGTACATTTAGTGGAAAAGAGTTGAAGTACATCACCGGAGTACAGTGTCTTCCATTTTGCATTAATTTTATGCAACGGTGTAAAAATAAAAGGCAAAATGATATATTTTATCAGACTGTATACCTGTTATTATTTTAAAACAGGAAGGAGTATGAGGGATTGCACTTTAGCTATTGTCATATATGAAACAAAACATTGTTGGTTTTCCAGACATGGACATGAACAACAATAATAGAAACAAAAGACAGGACACAGAAATGTAAGGAACAAAAAGGAATTTCCCCCAAGGTTACAGCCCCCCACCCCCCAGAAAGTTTCTTGAACAATTCCAACCTGTGAATTGTTATTAATTCAGCTTTTGAATAATTACCAAAAACTGCTGCACATCAAAAGCTGTTCCAAAAGAAAACAGTTTTAAAGAGAATAATTTTCAAAGAGCAGAAACACAAGTATATTGAGTAACATAAAAACCTGATTGGTCTCACATTTAAAAACAGGAGTCCCAGAAATGGAACAGACAGCAGAGCACTTAGACGGTGTATTACAAATTAAGGATGAAGAGGGCTGCAAAGGCAAAAGTGGGAAGGGGCTTCAACAAATTCCTGCAGCTTGGAAATGGGGTGGGGTAGCAATGGGCTGGATCCTTCCCTACCCCAGCACCTTGTTTCTGTACAGTTTGTTTTTATTGTAGGATCTCCTCCTGGGTTGCTTCAAAAAAAGGACGTTTGGTCAAATGGGTCCACTTGACTTGACCCATTGGCAGTTCTCTTGGTCTTAGATTCCTCCTTAAGTCCCTCGTGATATTGGAAATATCCCTCCTGATTCTACTAAGAATACCACCCATGGCAAGCCTCCAGGGGCAGCAATGCCCATTACACCTGGCAGCCCGTGTGTACTTCGTGGAGGTGTCCAAAAAGTATAGATGGTGTGTCACTTATGAAAAGGCTGGAGCCAGACAAGAGGGTGTAGCTATAGCTTATTACATCAGACCCTTCCTGTGAGCGTCTCTAGGCCATCTAGAAGTGAGCCTTAGGATTCCTTTGGCAAGGCAATTTGATTTGTCTTGAATGTTATTGGTTTATCTTAAGCTACCATTGAATGGGACGTGGGTGGCGCTGTGGGTTAAACCACAGAGCCTAGGACTTGCTGATTAGGTTGGCGGTTCGAATCCCCGTGACAGGGTGAGCTCCCGTTGCTCAGTCCCTGCTCCTGCCAACCTAGCAGTTTGAAAGCACGTCAAAGTACAAGTAGATAAATAGGTGGGCGGGAAGGTAAATGGCGTTTCCGTGTGTTGCTCTGGTTCACCAGAAGCAGCTTAGTCATGCTGGCCACATGACCCGGAAGCTGTACGCCGGCTCCCTCGGCCAATAAAGCGAGATGAGCTCCAAAACCCCAGAGTCGGTGACGACTGGACCTAATGGTCAGGGGTCCCTTTACCTTTACTTTTACCATTGAATAGTTTCCCCAAACTACTAAATAATGGCCAGTTCCCCAGAAGTCCATCAGATTTACTACCCAGTAGAGAGAACTTTGTGCATTGTAGTTGAAATAATTTGGCACCCTTAAAAAAAAAAGTCTTTAAAATAAACTGTCTCTTGTCTGACTCACCAATTCTTTTCTCCAGACAGAAGGAGCCCCCTTAATTTCCCGCCCTCGTACCGCTGACGCCGCCTGTCACACAGTCCTGGCAGCTCTTTAACCTGCTTTGTTTACACACCTTTATGATATGTACCCACACAGCGCTACGCTTCCCAGATCAAACATCGCTGGGAGCGCCCAGCGCCCGGGCTCTCGACTGTCACGGAGGAAGGTGCGGGTGGGTGCAGGGAAAGCTATTTATCTCGCTCTTATCAGCAGCCTGCTGTTGCCGCGAGATAACGACATAATCGCCTGGCTTTCCAGCAGGCCGGTTTCCTTTCCCTTTCCAAACCGATTGCCGTTTCCCCTCGAGCGCCGCTGAATGCCAAACAGAAATTTCGTGTCCAGGGGCGGGGTGGGGGGAAGCGACACCGTATTTAGCTTCGCACTTCCGCGGAGCTGCCTCCAGACAGATCGAAGATCTATGCTGCCCCAAGGACTGTTTTCTTGCAAAGGGGTCGGTTGCCTCCTGCGTTTGGGAAGCTCTTGGCTTCCTCCGCCTCTCGGGAGAAGAGAAAAGCGCTCGAGGAGCGCGCCTAGTTGTGCGCTCGCTTTGCCAAAGATGATTTCTAAGACTTGGAGGGGTTTGAGGCAACCAGGGCTTAATTCGAAGCAAGGCTCGTTTAATGCCCCTCTGGTCAGTCTATGTGAGCGCCCTCTGAGCACGTTAAGAGTGCTTTCCAGCCTCAGAAGTGAGAAATTACACCCACACCTGGGTTTATTGGTTGGGTCCTCTAAATTAGAGGGCTGACTTGGAGTCCCAGCACCTCTCCCCCTCCTTCCCTCTCTCTTAGTAAGCAAACGCCGCTTAAACAAATAAAGACAAGCTAGGTCTCGATTTGGTTGACAAAAAGCCACGTCTCTTCTTCCCAGGGGGCCTTGAACGCAACGGACCTCAGCTTGTGATCTGCCACAAGCAAGTGGAGAAGTGACGCGGACAAAAGGAGCAACTCGGGAGAGGGGTGGGGGCAGAAAGAAAGAAAGAAAGAAAGAAAGAAAGAAAGAAAGATCTAACAAGCGACCTACAAACCGACCCACACTCAATGGCCCGGTACCCAAAGCGCAGCGCTGGGGAGGTGGTGGTGGTGGTGGTGGGAATCAAAGTCTTGCTGTGCGAGGTGTGGATTGATCGACGAGGGTGTCCAAAGCAACTGCAGGTAAGAGGGAAGGGGTGCCCGGGTTCAACTGAGCAGAAAGGACGCGCGCGCACACATATTCCCCCCATTTGATGGGCAACTAGTGCAGTGCTGCTCTCTCTAGCTACATCATATGCAGAGTTGGACGGGACCCCCGGGCTCATCTAGTCCAACCCCTGCAACGCAGGACTCCTGTCGTCCCTGGGTGGGCTCGAGCCACCAACCTCCTGGGGGTTGCACTGACCCATTGGCGCCCCCTCTTCTCGACCCCCGTCCCCTCCCCGGATCCGGCCTTCCTCTCCTGGTGGGGGAGAGCGGCGAGGCCTGTCCTCAGAGGGTTGTAATCCTGGAGGTGCACGTCCCGTTCCTGTACATGCCTCCGGACTCCCCGAAGTTGTCCTGGGGGAAGTCCTCGACGCTGTACGCCCTGCTCTTGAGGGCGGTGGCGTAGTAGTCGACGGGCTCCTCGGCGGCGTTGTCCATCCAGCTGAGGCACAGCAGCCTCTGGAAGGAGCGCTTGAAGTTGTCCGAGAGGAAGCCGTAGAGGATGGGGTTGGCGCAGCTGTTGGCGTAGCCCAGGATGACCGACAGCTGGCTGATGGTGGCGTCGTCGGGCTCCACGAACAGGTTGACCAGCTGCACGACGTAGAAAGGCATCCAGCAGATGACGAAGACCATGACGACCATCATGACCATCAGCGTGATCTTCCTCTCGGAGCGCTTGCGCTGCTGCCAGCCGGCCTTGAGCGCCACCATGCGCATTTTAGCGATGATGAGGATGTAGCACAGGCTGATGGCCACCACGGGCAAGAGGAAGCCCATGAGGAACGTGTACACCACGAAGACCACCAGCCACTTCTGCTTGGGCTCGGGCATCATCATGTTGCAGGCCACCGTGCCGTCCGTGTTGGCTTCGGTCTTGGAGAAGATGATGATGGGCAGGATGATGACGATGGCCAGGCCCCACACGGCCAGGTTGACCATCTTGGCCACGGTGGGCCGGCGGTAGCGCGACGCCTTGATGGGGTGCACCACGGCGATGTAGCGGTCGACGCTGAGCACCGTCAGGCAGTAGATGCTGGTGAACATGTTGACGGCGTCCACGCTGAGCACCAGGCGGCACAGCAGCGAGCCGAAGGGCCAGTGGTGCAGCAGCGTCGACGTGACCAGGAAGGGCACGCTCAGCATCAGCAGCTCGTCGGCGATGGCCAAGTTGAGGATGTAGATGTTGGTGGCCGTCTTCATCTTGGCGTAGCGCAGGATCACGTAGATCACCATGGAGTTGCCGCACAGACCCACCAGGCACACCACCGAGTAGATGAAGGAGATCAGGATGGCGCTGCTGCCTTGAGACTCGCTCCCGCCGCTGCCGCCGCCGCCGCTCACCGTGCCGTTGGCGGAGCCCGAGGAGTTCCTGGCGCCCGCCGCCGAGTCCATGCCTCCAGCAGCGCCCGCGACGAGCCGGGCGCAGGGGCCATCCTCCGCCCCGTCGGCCCGGGCTCACAGCGCCGCCCGCGCTCGGGCCAGCCGGCGGCAGGAGGGCGTCAGCATTCTCCGGCTGCCGCTGCGCTGCTTCTCCTCCTCCTCACGCAGCTTGGCAGCATCTGAGGAGCGGCGCGGGAAAGAGCCGTCCAGAAGCAGGAGAAGAGGGAGCCGGGCGCCGCCGTGAGTCCGATTGGCATTAATTGCAGCCTGCCGGCTCGGAGGGATGATTAATAGGCGGCAGGAGGCGCGTCAGAGCCGACGAAGGGGAGGCGGGAGGAGGCTGAGGCGGGGAACGCGAGCGGGAGGCGGCGCCGGCGCGCCTCTCTCCTTGCTCTCGCTCGCTCGCCTCCAGTTCCCGCCAAGCTGCTCCAGAGGGCCGGGCGCTCTCCCGCTCTCCTCAGTCAGTCAGTAGTCGGAGGAGTCGAGGAGGGCGAGCGGGATTCCTCTGGTAAGTGGTAACCCGACCCGGGTTCTTGTGGTGCCGCTTCAGCCTCCTCTTCTTCCTCGGCGGGAAAAGCCACAAGTTGGAAGCCCAGGCGGGCACTGGCGCGCTCACCTTCGAGCCAACGAGCCCCCCCCCCCCCATTTGTTTCGTCCTCTCCTTATCTTCTCAGCGCCACCTCCCTCAGAGCGGACATCCTAGCGCAGCCTTGGCCGATCCAGATGTTTTGTGCCGATTTGTATTCAGGACATCCGACACCCCCTCTCCCCAAATAGGGGAGGACTTTGGTGATCTTCCTAACATGGCGCCCCGTGCGATGCCAAAATTTGGCGCCCCCAAATGGATCTGCTCGCTGATGGATCTTCTCAATTTTGCACCCCCGCAGCTGGGGAACTGCCAGCACCGCCCTAAATTCGGAGCTGCCCCTCTCACTTCCCCACCTTTCCCTACAAGCGATTATCTCATTGTAACCTATACCATTTCACTTCTCTGCCTTCCACCACATGCTTCCTCCTTCAACCCCAAATGTTCCCCATTCTCCTGTCTAACCTGGCTGGCTCCGGATTTTGTGGGGCCCCAGCAACATGCTTGGTGGGACCTGATCCACCTCCAACCCCTTGCAGTCAGTCCAAACTGTGGGCCCAATCCCAGTTGCTGGATCCAAACACATACAGAGAATGTATATGCACAGGTGAGCACACAGTGACTGCTCCTTGTAGCATTGCTGCAGCACACTTGTCTGAGGAAGTGTAAATGGCAAAGTCGCACTGGCTGGAGCTGCTTGCAAGAGAGCAGGTGAGAGATGAGCAGAAATGATGTTTCCTCTGCCTGGCTACTTTCCCCCAGGGGGAGAGAACAGGCAAGAGCATGGAGTCACCGGCATCCCCTGCTCACCTGTTAGCCTTCTCCCTCCGGGTAGCGGCGGCTACTGAGAGAAAGCCTTGAACAATTGAGGGGAAGTGGTAGCAGCTGCTTCCATGCTTACTTTATGGGCAGCGCAGCAGTCAGGCTCAGTGGGGATGTTGTGCTTCACAATCTGCCTGCTGTACAGTTGCAGCTTGTTTGCCGCTTGTATCGTCACCATAAAGAACGGCAACTGCAGAAGCACCTTAACCCATCTTCGCTCACTGTGATCCTTATGTTAACTTGCACCTATAGCTTCCAGCTGCTGCACACACTATGGCACCAAGTCCTGTCTCCATATACAAACATCTGTGGATATCTATAGGGATAGGCAAACACACTCATGAAATTACAACACGTCACACTGGGAATACACATACATAGCCTTCCTTCCCTACTACTGCTATAAATATCACATCAATGCCCGTTAAGAGATCCTATTCATGCTCTGGCAACAAGCGTAATAGCTGAATCCTCTGGCATAAAAGGTTTGTAAACCCCTGCTTATGCATATTAGCATCATCAGGCATATAGATATCCACGTCACTCGAGAAATATTTTCCCTTTGCGACTACACATAGACTGAATCATCTTTTTAAAAAATGTGTGCTAACAAGCAAGTTTTACAAAACTGTTTTCTATGCTTTGGCAGGGATGTCTTAGGTAATTAAACATGATTTCTTTAAGACACTCTCTATAACTTCAAAATGGTTATAGCCCAAAACACACATTTTTTTAAAAGCCTCTCAAGTAGCTTCCCACTACCTATTCCATGCCAAGGGGATGCAGAATAGAAGGCGAGATGGAGGAGGACATGAAAATAAGAAATATTTATGGGGGGCCCCAAAAATTTTTGTCCTTGCTTAGGGCACCGTACTACCAAAGCCCACTCCTGCTGACAGGCAGCAAAACAAAGAAAACAGAGCAGCAAATGGGTGGATCCTGTGCATCTTTTCATAATCGTATTTCCATACCAGGAAAGGCTAAACATGTTGAATTTCTGCCTGCCACACCACTGTTAAAGACACCAAAATTCTGTTTCCCCCCCACTGCCAATCCTATACCAATGCCTTTGCTGCCATCCTGTTCCCACTTATCGAGGAGTAAGCCCCATTAAACACAAAGAGACTTACTTCTAAGTAGACATGTATACCATTATCCATTTATTTATTTATTTATTTAGTTAGTTAGTTAGTTAGTATACCACCCTATTCCCATAGATCTCAAGGCAGTCCACAACACAAAATTACAATATAAAAAGACAAAATACAAAATACAAATACCAGCAGAAACAAACCAATAAGCCCCTCCTTCCACAACACATTTAAAAGGACATCAGATGTACTATACTGTAAGATAACCATACAGATAATTCTTAATGAATTATTTAGCTCCTGCATCCACCCACGCTTTCTGTGTAGTAGTATTTGCAGAAAACAACTTCTAGGGACTACCTGATCTCAGACTGAACCCACCACGGGAAAGATGCATCCTGGTTGCTAGGGGAAACAGAAGGACAAACAGCAGAGAAAATAATACAGAAGCAAGAAAGGTGCACTAAAGGACATAGCGAAACAGTAGCAGTTTAGGATTTAGGCTCATTTCACACAAAAAATGATTAGAAGGGTACCTGCACATTTGCTGTAGAACATTCCTTCTAGGTTGACTAGAGTCTTACTTTAAAAATCTTCTGGGTTGGCGCCTCTGGCAATGGCGGATTTCCTTCGATCGGGAGGAACCCGCTCCGCGAAAAACAGGGTCTGAACCGCCACGGCGAGGCAGAGACCCATTAAAAACCACAGGCGGGAGAAGCCTGTGGACGTGGGATTCGGCTGGCACCTCTGCGCCTCCCCTACTCACGGGGAAACCCTGTTTTGGAGATCCGGAGCGACGTGGGGTGAGTGGCGCGGTGCTTTGAATCGACTGCTTTTTTCACGGAGTGAAGCCGCATTGCTGTTGCCGGAGAGCGCTGACTTTTTCCTGTGGACATTTGGATTTTAAACAACTACTCGTGAGTAAATTGGAAAATTGGATTTTTAAATACTTTAATTCGGCACTGAAGTGGGAGGTCACAAACAGGAAGTCCGCCTTCCGTTTTTGTAAATAGACTGAAGCAAAGATGTTACAAGTAAAGCCTTTGAAAGCTTTTGGTAAAGGATTAAATTTCCACCGGTTTAAAGTTACAAAACCCCCTTGGGAAGCAGGAGAAGAGCGGGGAATTTTGGATCTAGTGAGCCTGCAGGAGAGAGTGAAAAAATCAGATTACCACTGCTCTGAACCTGGGAACGGGCTGCCAGATGACGTTTGAAGAGAGTGCTTTTGACAGAACAGATTTGACAGCTAGCTGAACAAGAGTAAGATACTGTTTCCATTGTCCCTTTCTGCGTTTAAAAAAAAGAAGAGGAAAAGTAACTGAAATTCATCTTAATGTTTGAAATTGCGCTTGAAAGAACTGATACAAGTGGAGACTGTTTCCCTCTAGAGGGAGCTTTTGAAACTGTAACAGGACTGTAACTGGGGAATCTCCAGCTGCAGAAAAGGAGTTTGGGAACCAGAGAGTGACCTTGGGCTACTTAAAAATGTTGATAGGAGAGGCCATTGTGACTGTTTTATGCAAGATAAGCTGTTCGCTGGGACAGCTTCACAAGAAGATGGATGATATGACTCTCAAAGTTGATAATTTGGAACAGAAAGTGACCAACTTGAGTCAAAAAGCGAACACTAACACAGAAATAATTCAGGACTTGGTACAGGAACCCATTTTGGCAGGACAAATGGTGGAGGAGAAGGAGGAGAAGGAGAAGGAGAAGGAGAATGCAGCTGTTGTTCAACATGAAATAATACAAGTGAGATTTGTGGATTTACAGAAGCAAATTGGAGATTATAAGTTGAGGCCTCCTATGATTGAATCCAGGAAAAGCCAGACTCCGAGGAATGGATCCCGGTTTGGATTAAAGAAGGAAAGTTGGAAAGAGCCCTCTATGCAGGGATTAATTGACTTTTGGGACATGGACTCGGGCCTGGAGGAGACTGAAGTTTTGGGGGCCTTTGGAATTGGAGGAATTTTGAAATATACCCGGAAATACTTTATGGACTGTGGTTTTAACTATGGAAACTCAGCTGATTTGTTCAGAAGGAAGAAAAGGATGGACAGGTTGGAATTTCCCCGAGATTGGCTCTCTAGCATCAAAGAAAATGAAGAAGACCTGCAGAAGGGACTTGGAAAAGAGTTAAGAGCCTCGGACGTGAGATCACCAGTTTGATGGACTTTATGGAATTGACGGAAAGGACTGGCAGAATCCGAAACCTGGGAGAAGAGATGGTGGAAGAAGATTGGAAAATTTAAAGTTTTTATATAGACTTATGGTAAAACTAATGAGTGATAGAAAAATGGTGGAATGATTTTTTATTTTTTTATTTTTTATGGGCTTAATAGAAATGTTATAAGGAGTTAAGCATATATAAGTAATTTAGTTTTAATGGAAAATAAGGTTAAAATAATACGTTATTTATAATAGCACAGAAAATGGAGAAAGATGGAAAGGATTTGCTGAAACAATTAATAGAAGCGGAACACAAAAAGGGAGGTGTGAGGAGGTCGAGGAAATAAGGGAATGAAAGATAGAGTATGGAAAAGAGAGGGTGTATGTTTTTAAATTGTTTTTGTTTCGGGGAGTGGGGTTTGTTTAGTTTAGCTTAATGTGTTTAGTTTTGAGTTTAGGTTGTGTTCTGTATTGTTTATATATTGTATTGTATGGTGTGTGTTTTTTCTTTTTTTTCCCCTCTGTTTTTTCTTTTCTTTTTTCTTTTTTGTTTTTTTTCCTCTCTTTTTGTAATCTATAAAAGTAATAAATATTATTTT